GTGATGTTTATTAAGATTTTATCCGAGAATGTTCAAAATCAGAAAACCGCTTATCAGGCATATTCAAAAAGTGTCGCCAACGAGTGGTGGTTGGTTATAATGTTTGACTAACTCGAGTTAAATAATTGTCAAATTGTATAAAGACTCGACGTTTATCGAGTGTCTTTTTCAATTTGAAAATTAACCAATGAGAGTTAGATAAACATGGTAACCGTCCGTCCCGTCACGAGTTGTCGGACCTTTTTCTCCTGAAATGTTCATATTTTATCAAGAAAACGACGTTCCCTTGCAAAATAGAACTGTTCCTTTCCAAAGGGAGACAATTTCCGAGAATCATGACGTCAAAATAGAATCTGACGTCGCGAAACATTGTTAGTCGTTATTAAAGATTGAGTAATGAAATAAGATCCAGGATGTTGCCCACTAGTTTGTTACTGAAAATGTTTATCAAATCCTGGAAGGCTTATCCTATGAGTCGAGATTGAGGTAGCCTAGTGGTTGTAGTAGAAAATGGTCTTTGGTTATGTGCAGTTTAAACTTAATAGAACACATTTAACGTTTATGCTTCATCAAGAAATATCCAGTAGTTTTCCGTTTGATTACATCTATTATTTTAGTCAGCTTTTGATTAATTATTCATTGCAAGTGATTGATATTTAAGAGGAAACATCCATTTCTTGTTAAATTCCATTTTAAGCATTTAAAGAAATATCTGTCAGTTGTTATTATTAACCTGATGTCAACATGGCCAAACTTTTATAAAATAATACAGTCAATGACTGGTCGCATGATCATACATCAAGATGACACATCAATATTACACAAGATGAATTCACGAAGCATTCGGTCCTTTTAGTTGATATATATGACGTCATAAGGAAAGCAGATATCCCATCGTCACTTTGAACCCACATAAAATGGTACTTTGTGAATTAAAATTGATTTACGTGTTGTGTTTCTTATCCATGGTTGATCACCTTGCAATTATACGAACGAGAAATAGTGGGGAAAAGATCTATCGAAACTTTTCCAGTTGGATAGGTAAGTACTATAATTTCAGAAAGGTGTCAGGTGAAATGTGTTTGCACTAGAAGATATATATTGATAATATCGAGTTTTCCTACACGAGCATAGAGACGAGAAGAGCAATGATAAAGTCTTGCCCATACACTATGTCATAGTAAATCATGTGCTAATGAACGCCGTTGATAGCAGTGTTAGGGACACATAGGTTGTGCTTAACCCGTCAGAGTCGACTTTCATCTAATATATGGGGGGGGGGGGGGGGGGGGGTCATCCATTGTTTATCTGATATAAGGATTCTTCTATGTACCTAAATCAATCGCATGTTGTGCAGATTTTACTTTTAAGTTGTAATAAGACCCTATATTCAAGGAATATGAATTGATGGTTATAAGCCCTGTACAAAATCGATGATATTGTATGAATGTCGACGCTGTTTGCGCCTCAAAGTCAAACATATCCATCTTAGGCCCTTGTTAGAATCAACATTGATTGGTAAAAACGAATCATTACATATTCAAAAAAGATGACATGATGACAAATAACTCTGTAATAGTATCAGAACGAACACTCATTCTAAATACTGATGAAGCTTGATGTGATCTTAAACCCTTTGTTAGCTCGAGATGATAACCAGTATGTCCCACATCTGTCTAACGATGTATAATGTTAATGTATCACAGACAAAGCTTAGACGCGCACATGCTCTGGTTGTCACAAAGAATGCGTGGTCACATAAATCTCGAACCGTCACCACAGAATAATAATTAATTCAAGAAAATATCCATACATAATAAATTGACAAATATTGGAAGATCGAACCGTGTCATTTTACGACAAACGTATTATTTTAACACAATGTTCCGGATACTAGAATAATGAATATTAACATAGTGTTATGTTAAGCTGACGCTACGTAAAAACCTTATTACGCGGAATTTGTTTGCACCGCCATCGAGCGTGACGTCAACGGTAATTAGAATCGACACTGTATTACACACCTAATGGATGACCGGGACCATTACGACATTGAGATAGTAGAATAATTCAGTTCGAATTTCGAGGAAAAGGGGGGACAACTTTGGATATACAGCACGGAGCGGTACACTCCGAACATGGATTGACAGGGACAATTGGAATATTTCAAATTATATAAAACAAAACTAAGGTAAGATATTACTGCATAACTTACCTAGGTCAGGTGTTTAACAGATATGAAATCAACATAGTAAACAGCATATGTAGCTAAGTTTGTCACTTAAAACATATGTTTTATACATATTAAAATTGTCTTATCATAGAATAGTAAACAGAAACGTATCGACGATACTTTCATACTAGTGGTACAAATGATTGCGGAATTTACAAATAATCGGACTTTTATAAACTGTTTGTATGAAAAGTCGGTCAGTGATAATAGTCGTTGTGTATCTAGATATTGTAGTTTTCAAATTATGCTGCTTTGTAAATTAAATATATTTATATATATTCCTTGACTATTATTATTATTATTATTATTTCTTTGTCCGTAAGGACCATTTCGCAGCTTTTATAATACATATATAGGCGAATTTAATAGTAAACTTTTTGCCTGATGCTGAATTTCACTACATCTAATTAACTACAAAATATCTTATCTTTCGCAAATTTTATGATTTAATGTATCGTGTATTGCATTTTATAGGTGTAATCATATATGTGATAATCAACCTCCAATGGAATTAGTACTTTTTCCTTTTTTTATTTGTAGAAATTGGTTACGAGACTAAATTTAGAACTCGGTGATTGACCTTTTATTGTATGTCATTGATTGATTTTGAATCCTTCTAATGACCTTATATGACGCTACACTCGGCAGTATATCAATATTCTGTTTGATAGATTTTATATCTAAAACTAATTCCGAAAGCAGGACTACAAATGAAGATAAAGAGATAGCATCATCATGGTTTGTTTATGTGTTGAATCGAATATGTGACGTCATTGTATTGGCTTTGTGACGTCACAAGATGTGTTATTTCATACCTAACATATCGGACATACCTTTGATTCAAAAATATTTCCTGACACCGATGTCAAAACAACATACATCGAACTGTATGATTAGTTTGTGTTAGCAGAAAAAGCATTGAACGACCTAAACGTTATCAGTAAATACTTTTACATTCCTTGCCTGAAAACAAAACTAAGCTTGCTATAAATATAACAAAGAAAAACCATATCTGTACATTTTCAGTTTTTCACAAGACGACATACTAGTTTATCAAGCATTTGTATTGGAATCTTTCGGAATGCCAAATAATTTATAATGATACGGACATGCCTCGTTCCTTTTGGATTCTGAAACCCAAACGAGAATCCTTATTAGGAACGTTTCGTAGCTCGTTTTCTAGTCGCTAAAACAAGTCATCATACAAAACTCTTACTACAATTTGAAAAATGCAAAAAATCTTTTTATCATCTTGAGTATCCTCCACTCAAAAATAACTTCTTCAAGAACATTTGACTTTTCCATTCTTAACACTACAATACCTCATGCTAATCTGAAGGAACGCCTTCCTTCCCTTATAATGAGATTTTTATTTTCCAAGAACGGCGAAACGCGTAGAAATATTAGGTCGAACACTATTTTGGAGCGTATTTTGTGAAAAACACGACATAGGCCAATATTGAATATAAGAGGGATATTTTTTTGCGATGAGTTTGTAGACAAGATTTTCAAACAGATATTGGTTTGTTTTTGTTTTCAAACGAGGCTGAATTGTTATTAAATAGCTGATCAGTACTGGTAACAAAAATAAAGCCAAGTTCTTTAACCTCACATCACGATATACCGACGATGAACAGGACATGCATTGACTATCGTATATACCTCCTGAACTCGAAAGCAGAGACATTACAACTCATCTACTTCAGCCGCTGTTCTCTAATTATTACGGGAACTGTTCCTTTTCGGAATACCATAATGTTCGTGTTAATTGTCGACTGCTGATGACGTTTCAAGCTTCAAGTTTCATGGTCACAATCGTTATAACACTTGAAACTATTCTATGTCGCTGTGTGATTGTACTCAGTTGTATGCGTTACTGTTCTGTTGTCACTACCCCGGTTCGCACTTTGTTGACGTGACAGTATTTAGACTTGACCTAGATTTATATCGTTGGTGCCGTCGTTGAAGCAGAAGTCGTTGACCTTTTGGATCACCTTGTCTTATTTTCTTCCACTTTTTCATATGTCTCAACGTAAACATTTTCTTTGTTGTTGATTCAATTATTAATTTGCTTCTATGAAAAATTTGTTAATTGAGCTATTTACACTACAGTTACAATTGTTATCACTTCCATTGTGAATTTAAATTTCATAATTTGAAATATGGACCTTCCGAAAAAATGTTTTGGCCCGGTAAAAATGAATGCTAATTTTTGCATGAATTCCTTATTTCATTTTATTCGTTATTTTTCTATTTAAGTTCGAAGTGTATTGAAGTAGAAAATGAAAATGTTATTTAATGATTTAACATTAATACATGATACATAGTTATTGTCATCCACGGATCTCATACTTTCAACAACCACGGTCTGATTCGTTGAATATCACTTTTCCAGACTATGCGTTGTGGTTTTTTATATGTCCTTTTTTCAAACATCTTATCATGTCTAGACCTGAAGTTTATTTCATAGGCGGCCACAACTATGTACAATGATATAATGTATATTGCTAACAGTTGAATTCGCAAACATCATACTAGACCTTTAAATGGTGTTTTGCGAAGATTTAAAATATATTGATATTATTGATGTTTTTTGTTTTGTTTAGATATCGGATCGACGAAATATTGCCTAAACCATTTGAATATCCAAAAGTACAGTAAATAAAGGTAGGCTTTGTACTGATGCCTCTATATTGTTCTAAACAGTGCAATAAATAAAGGTAGGCTTTATATTGATGCCTCTATATTGTTCTAAACAGTACAGTAAATAAAGGTAGGCTTTATATTGATACCTCTATATTGTTTTAAACAGTACAGTAAATAAAGGTAGGCTTTATATTGATGCCTCTATATTGTTCTAAACGCATGGTGTCAACACGACTTATCACTATTACCTAATATCTTTACTTTTCCATTTTTTTATTTTTCATTTTCATTTTTTTTTAATTCAATTGTGGATCGATTTCTATAACCTTTGTATTACCCAATCCTGTTAGCCCTGATGGCAGCACTTATCTTTTTTCATATGAAATGCTTTAATTACACCAACTTTCCGCTGAAAAGAATCAACGTGCTTTTTTCCTAATTGTAGATAGATATGAGACTGCCGTTCTTCTTTATCGTGTTGATATATCTGTGGCCAGACCTAACAACCAGTCAGGACACATCATTAGGACAGGAATCACAACCAGAATTACTACAACAATTACTACAGCAACTGCAACAGGTACGTATATATTTCATTATATTCAATTGTAGAGTGAGACAAGATATTATCAAAACATTTCCAGACAGTAAACATCTCCACGTTCAAACAGTCTGTATCAGATTACGGTGAATGTTCTCATGTTATTTTCTATATTAATAAGCAGGTGGTAATGATTCACAATCAAAAGTTTTTCTCTTTCGGTTTTTGTTTAAAGTATTAGACTTTGATTTACCTACAATTGAGATTTACACACAGAGATATAAATTGTGTTTAATCTTTAAAAAAATAAAAATAAAAATCCTATTGACTTATTTTCTGCCTGAACCTGTCATTGCATGAATTAGAGCCCCATCTGTGTTGGTGTCATATCTCTACAAACTGTACTACAATAAGGCTAACGTCACTATTAAACTCTGAGACAAACGGGCTTAATCCTGGTAAACAAGGAACCAACACTGTAGGCATTTTACACTGGTAATCCCGGCCCAAATTATTATCATAAACACATTACCGTTGGGCCATCAGTTGCATAAATATGCAATATAGTCTGTTTTGTTTTGATAATTTTGATATATATATATTTTTGATATCTATATAATTTTTGATATCTATATAATTTTGATATATATATAATTTTGATATCTATATAATTTTGATATATATATAATTTTGATATATATATAATTTTCCTTTGACTTTTGTTTGGAGCCTTCAGTGTTGACAGTCATATTTTATCGGTATGTATACACAGACGCATTTACCTTGTGCGTACATTCTAAACATATCTATGTTTATTTCTTTATCAAGACATCTCCTCAAACGATAGACCAGGAAATCCTCAATGCAGCAGGTATTATAAAATGAATGAAAAGGACTTGGGGTGTTATGGGTAATTTTGGCCTCATAAAATGGAAAAAATTAAGCTTGAATTTATTTACAAATTTCTGTTATAAACGGGTATTCACGGGTTTATGTTTCTCTTTGTAAAACCATGTCTCCTTAACAAGTTGTCGAATAAATTTGAAATTTCATATTCACATACTTCATTCATTCCAGATTACGAATATACCAACTAATTCAAAATCCCCGATGAGGCCGAAAATGACCCTTAACTCCCCGAGTCCTTAACTCACCTGTATATCTGAGGTATAGCACCCTAGAGAAACCGTAAACGGAACAACAAATGGTTCTATCTACCATGACTCAATCTATTTTTAAAAGTTATGTTTTTAATAACAACTCATCCCTCTATGAAGTTCCTGTGACCATTTTGTTTTTGATGCAGTTATTGTCCACAACTAACCTTGTCCAACGGACAAGTTCTCTACTCTATACTGTACAGTAAAGTGTGTGTTGGGTTGTACGGTTAAGACAAGTTCAACTGTAATTTTCAGACCATGAAATACAACATTCTGTATCGCAAATGTGCAATACGGAATGTTGTATTTACCTACTAGCCGGAACTCCTTTTTATGGGAATCCCCTTGTCATGGCGAACTGAAAAGTTCCCGGTATTTGCAAAAAAATGTAAAAGTTTATAAAAATCTTTGTATCAATCTCTACCAAATACGGATGGTATGTGATAAAAGCAAGACCACACACTTGTGTTTTTCTAACAAATCAGAATGCACTCATTTATTGCGCCGACGTATATATTCACTCGCGCGCATTCGTCCGCGCAATAAACTCGTGCTTTCAGATTCGTTAGAAAAACACAAGTGTGTGGTCTTGCATATATATTACAGGTCCGGAAGCGTTTAATAGTGACGTCAGCGACCCGATACACCAGGAATTCAAAATACAGGGAGATATCGTCTTCAAGTATGGCGAGCTAGCTGGTGCCTTGCAACCGTATGTATTACGCAATGTGTTATAAAAAATAACAAATGTAGATTTATATTCCTTGCTATCAATTGAAATAGTTATGAATTTTGTTAAACATCGAACTTTGTAGACAAAAATACAATTTGGTTATTGTCATAGAGATAATCTTTAGTTCGAGAACATTTTCAATGTCTATAAGTACACCAATAGGGTATTACCTGAACAGCGTATTTAGCCAATATGTGTTTCGTTCCTATGGAACTGAGGCATTACGAATGCTATAGAGGAAGGAAATAATTCTCTGACCTTCTAACCTCACATTAAGGTAGCTTGGTTATAATTGATTTGGGTGACAAAGAACTACCTCAGATCCTCCGGTTCTTACACTTCAGGACACCTTAACTCATTTTCTGCAGTTTTATTTCGCGATATATTTGCCTGCCAACACATTTGTGATTTATTCAGTTTCTGTTACACTTACCTACATAAAACTGTATTGTTACAACTGTTTACGTGCCGTTCACGATGAGTAATGTCGTGTTGAGTTCGCGAGGTTTACAGATTATTCCAACCCTGTATGTAATGTGAGGAATGCTTTATTATACTTAGGTCGATTTGGTGTTAGCTAACAGGTACGCTATGTTATCAATTGAAAACTACATTTGGTGTTTTGTAATTCACAACACCTCAGTGAACCAGCAGTTCACGGCGGACTAGTGAGGAAGAAGAGGAAAACTCCCCAGGATCTCACTAAGATGTGGCCGAACGCCGAAGTCCTCATTGCCTTTGATTCAAGAGCTTCGTTTTGTATGTCTTCTGTTTTGTTTTGTAAATAATTATATGCTATCGGTCGTTTACTGTGTGTTAGATAACGTATATACAGTAACATTACTGAATGTCCCTCTAACATATAAACAGATTGGTTAATTACCTCAATGATAAGGGCTTGTAATAAATGTGTCCTAGCGTAGGAACGCCCACCTCTATCAGAGGACCCTGTATACCGGGAAGCTTTCGCCCTTCACCCACAGAGTGTGTTAAATTCGCCCTACACCGCCAACATCGGAACACACTTTACCCCAATTGCATCACATACGGTATCTGCGTTAAGCCTCAGTGTATATTGAATAGTGACAAAACATGTGCCGTCGTATACGTAATTACTTTTTAAACTTTCGCCGTCATGTTAAATTCGCCCTCAGATCGGAATGCGAAAGGGGCGAAAAATAAACTGCGGCGAAAGTCCCTCGGTATACAGTAGTAAAGATTAGGCGGTATTGTGGCTATTAATGTACACGTGCATTCATGCAAGCTCAATAAGGGTATTTAATACGACCCATGATTCGTGATACATTATTTACACCTTTCCTAATTTTCATGATTTTTTGTTGAGAGTTTTCGTGCTTCAATACACATTGATATAATGTACATATTAGTACTAACATAAGCTTTGGACATTTTCATCGTCATCTTTCAAGTTTATGGCAACGTGAAAATGAACCGTCTTGTCATGCTTGTGACCAATCATTTACTGTCTCAAACACTATATGATCGAATGCGTCGATTATGACCAAATACGTAACAATAATTAAAAGTTGGTTTATAAGGTTTTGGTGCCATAGTAAAGGATAATTAATGTTTTATTTTTCAGTACATGTATCATGTTATTAACTATTGTTTAAAATCATTTTAGTCTTTTTTTTTATTATTATTCATTTTCGTGCCTATTTCAGCACTGTTTGGTCCTAAATGACTTAAAGTTTCGATTAACCACAAACAATGCAAACAAACGAATCACATGATGATATATATGCCCACATGATAATCTGTATCTTCGATCGCTCTGTTGTCTGTTACCATGTGTTTGCTTATCATCCAGCTCCCGAAGAACGCAGCCTATTCCAGAGTGCATTAGAACAATGGCAGAGAAAAACCTGCGTTCGGTTTCGAACCCCAACAATAAATGACATCCATCAAGGGAGGTCCTTCATCTTTGTCCAGGACGGAAAGGGGTCGGTAACTAATGGCATATGTCCATCTCCACTGATATTCAACAAAATATTCTAAATCAATTAAGCATTAACGAATAATCGAAAAATTGGTCGTTTCATGCTGCAGACATGTAATCTTACGTTGATAAATCAGGGTGGAAATGTATAAATATTTAAACATAATGACGTTATAAAAAAAAATTATCATTTTCCATATGTAAAATAGATGATTTGCCTGTTTTCCACTTTTTTTTAATAGGTTTCGTTCAATCGTTCAATCTCCTGTGACGTGTGCCCATAGCACTTTCTGATATATACATAGCATATGGATGATATTATACGTTTAAGCTCGCCCATTCGAAGAAAAGGGAGAAATACGTAGTCACGTTGGCGTTCGTGTATTTATAATAAGATACTGACATTTGGCATGGATGTTTTCGGGAAGTCATGCATTACACAGTATGGTGTTTTTGGTCTTATTTAAGCTTATATAAGGTCTTTTTAATTGCACAGAGACACATATCCTTGTAGGCAGAATGTCATTGCATGTGCCATAATCATGGCGGAATATGCTAAGTATGGATTGGTGATACACATGGTTAAGTTTATAAAAATGTCATATAATAAAACAGTTATTGACCTGTTTTCAGGTGAATACGAGGATTAATAAACAACCCTCAAAGGAGATATTTCCCTCAGCCTCCGGCCTCGGGAAATATCACCTTTTTGGGTTAATAAATCCTCGTATTCACCTATAATAGGTCAATAATTGTATTATATATCTAACAGGTTTTTGTCTGATTGTACTAATTCTTGCCAAAAGTTGAAGGTTGAAATCTTTACATTTTAGTATTACCAAAATTGGTAATACTAATGTAAAGAGATGATTAATGAAGTAAACGTCAGTGTTGTATCCCGCTACCGCAATATGGCATGAGTATTACAGGAGGGTTAACATTGATGGTCCAATATAACAGACTCCGGCCCAATAAATTGGACCAATATGAAATATGCTTATAAATAACTTTGATTTTAAACACAAAAATGACATGATCTCACATTGATGTCCTCGTTTGTTTACAGCTGTTCCTCTCCTCTCGGGATGAACCCTATGCGCGAGACGGGTATTTTCAAATACCAGCCTTTAACACTTGCACGGCCTTGCAGAACGGTAAACTATACAACCACGCTCCATTGAAGATCGAACCTTTTCATCATCATAAACCACCGCAATTAGCATATAGATATTTCATTTTTTCTATTTCTCTCGAATTTTAAGTATTCTATTAGTTATAGTTTATTGGATAAATGCAGAAAGGAGTATTAGAATTAAGTAACATTTCCAAAATTGTCGCTGCCGATGAAATACAATATGCAAACATGTTCATGTAGCACTTCAAGCGAAACTTTCACATGTGAACATTTGATGAAGGCATCGAAACGTCACACGTAAACATTTCACTGGTCTTGCTAATTAAACATGTATACTTATCTTTACTTACCAACATGATAATAACATGTTTATCAATTAACAATGTTATTTTCAGAGACGTATAATGATGCACGAAGTGGGACATAGCCTCGGTCTGATCCACGAACAGTCCCGCAGTGACAGAGATAGCAGTGTCAACGTTATGTGGCAAAATGTACCAGTGCACATGCGTCACAACTTCCAAAAGTTCACCGAACAGGTGACAAATAACAGAAACACACCGTATGACTACGAAAGTCTGATGCACTACGGCCCGAATGTGAGTATATAAAGTCTGATGCACTGGGCCCGAGTGTTAGTATATAAAGTCTGGTGCACTGGGCCCGAGCGTTAGTATATAAAGTCTGGTGCACTGGGCCCGAGTGTTAGTATATAAAGTATGGTGCACTGGGCCCGAGTGTTATTATATTAAGTCTGGTGCACTGGGCCCGAGTGTTAGTATATAAAGTCTGGTGCACTGGGCCCGAGTGTTTGTATATGAAGTCGGGTGCACTGGGCCCGAGTGTTAATATATAAAGTCTGGTGCACTGGGCCCGAGTGTTATTATATTAAGGATGATGCACTGGGCCCAAGGATTAGTGGATAAAGTCTGATGCACTTGAACCGAGGGCAGGTATATAAAGAATAATGCACAAGACACGAGGAAAGTATATAAAGTCTTACGCAATGGGTCTAAAGGCTAGTATATAAAGTATGATACATATTATGTATAATGTTTTTGTGATTATTTGTTTTACATATTATATAAAATATTCATATTTGTTTTACATATTATATAAAATAATCATATTTGTTTTACATATTATATAAATTATTTATATTTGTTTTACATATTATATAGATTATTTATGTGTTTATTTATTTGATACATTATATAAATAAAACAAAAAATATACATTAAATAAACTTTTTATGTTTTATTTGTTAGATACATTATATAAAATATCTATGTGATTATTATTTGATACATTATATTAACTATTTATGTGTTTATTTATTTAATACGTTATATTAACTATTTATATTTCATTTTATTGAAATATTATATACAATATTTATTTGTTTATTTGTTTGATATATTATATAAAATATTTATTTATTTACTTGTTAGATATATTATATAAAATATTTATATTTTATTTGTTATATACATGATATAAAGTGTTTCTTTATCTTCTATGTCACAGGCTTTCACTACTAACGGTGCGCCAACCCTTCGGACACTGGACGCTTCCTACCAGGACAGAATTGGAGGATTTCAGGAAATAAGTCGTTATGACGCCATGGCCATTAGCAATATGTATAACTGTGGAGCTCGTATGCAGCCGTTCATACCGCCCTGGTGGCATCGACTTCTCGGCAGGAAGAAGAAATAAAGTCAAGAGATAGCAAAAAACACATAATTCTTCATTTTTTAAGTGCTTAAGTTTCATAGTTATGAATAACATTATAAAGAGTCTATCATTTTGTGAACAGATAGCGACTGTTTCTTTATGTAAGTGGTTATATCAATGTCATTAGAGGTCAGACACCGTCTTACATCGTGTGTGTTGTCAGATCGTTTCTCGTGTTGAGGTAAACTAACGTAGTCATAACATAGGACATACAAGATTTGACGTCATTATTGTAAGAAATTTATGTTGTCATAACAGTTTTACCTCTATGCACAAATTGATGACGTCGCAAGTTTTAATGAATTTACATTGTGGATCAGGGCCCAGTTGTTCAAAAAGTGATTAGTTTTATCAGTGATTAGCGCAAATTTTATTTTTGTGTATTTTAAAGACACAACCATTGAATAAGTTACAACTTTCCAAACATCAAATATTTAGTAAAGTAAATTTACATGCAAAATTGTGAGATTTTACCTGGTATATTGACGAAATTATTAAAGGTTGAAAAATGTCGTTAAACAGTGATATAGCTAAACACCTTATCAACAACTGGGCCCTGGTGGTAAATACAAGAACCAATAGTAGGACTATATCACCTCTGAATACATAAGATATAAATAGCAAACAGCTTACTGGTCAATAAAGCGAAGGAAATTTAGATCGACGTCAACCAAAAAAGGCATTTATTAAATCAAGTATATATTGATGGAACAGTCAGAAGAGTTTATTTATTGCCAAACAATGAAGGAGGAACGCACCAACAAAATAGTTCTAGGACATCAAAAGGTGAATAAAAAGGCAATACGAAAACGGTATATTTGATATAGATTTGTAACGGATTATAAATTGATTAACTTAAAAAGGGATTGAAATTCCACCGCACTCAGAAAATTAAGACAAATAAATTATTATTCACTTTCACAAGAAATTACCTTTACCAGTATAAGGGTGAATATGACCCAGACAAACCTCTAAAGAAAGTCGACGTAAAAACCTCCTAAATCTACATTTTTGTTGACATATTGAGCTATTAATATATAATATATAGATTAATAACAACACAATGCACAAGCTTCTAACTACATTGTATTTTTCCAAAATATCATCCGCTGTACTTATTATGTATTTCTTTGGGGATGGAGTGGGGATAAAAAAAAACCAGTCAAAGGTGCTATTGTTGTGGGTTTGGACAGCTAGGTTTTGAGAAAATGTTCGGTACGTTACCTGATAAATTCAACTTTACCATTATGTTAATGGTAGTTTTGCTCAACTGTATGAATAAACTAATCAACTATTAAATTGAAAAGAAAAAGAAATGATGTATGTTATATTTGTCGTCATTTTTATGAATTCCGAATGTTCATACAGATGTAAAATGTCTCTTTTTCTGATGATATACGTGAGAAATATTCGGAATGCATTTCCGTTGTTTGTACAGCTTGACGACGTTTATGACACGTGTTTTTGAAACTATGGTGCATCTCACTAAACTATTTATTACGATGTTCATATTATCATAGGCTTTATAATAGTCAATTATCGTTCTTGTAGTACGTATTCATACAAATAATCTTCATGCCTCTTGTACAGCAGCTTTTAGGTAGGGGTATAGCCAGTCAAGATTATATATAATACAGATTTAGATATAATGCTTGCAGTTTGTATCAGAATGCAGTACATGTTATAATAATCGTCAAAATTAACAACAACATAACGGTACAGCCATTGGAAACAAAATGGCTTCCTCCTACACCTGAATGGGGGTACTTGGAGAAGAAATTATTTAAGGATTTAACGTCTGTCTGGTTGCAGTTACAGTCAATATGAATGCAATTAGATGACAGATAAATAGATTGACATAAATAGGAATTATTACAGATTGTATTTCTGTTTTGTAACTTGTACACTTTATAAAGAGAATGAGCGATTGTTAACCACGCTTAATACGATACATCTTCATATCAAATACACTATAGTGCCTACACCGATAGTCGGCCTGGATATGCAGTAACTGGCGATCTAGATAGCAACTACATTGTAAAGCTAAAAAAGCATTTCCAAAAAGTATCGAGAGAATACTGCAGTCAATATGAATGAGACGTTCAACATCTCAATAGATTCCTTGGAAAACTACGCTAAAATATTGGCAAAGCGAGAGTAGGCTGAATTTGAAACAGTTTAGAGTCGGTTAAAATATGGTGTATCATTCTAAAAAGATATAAAACGGCACGAAAACCAAAGAAAAACCAAAAACAAGAATTTTTTTTTTTCGCCCTGACGCCAAATGTACACAGAAAGATTAACGTTGTAAATATGTCGATGTGTCCGTCTTGTAGAAAAATCAGCACAACACAACACCAACACAGATGCGGCTCTGAATGATTCTGTGCTAAAAAAATCAACATCTCTAATAAGGAGCTCACCAGTAGCGAGAAAACGTTTCTCGCTAAGGGTATGAACTATGCCATCGTTCCAGATTAAATCCCAGTTGATGATTTTGTTATAGCCACAGAACAGGCATGTAAGAAACTAAGCTATGCTGAGGCTGATCAACTGAGACCACAGGTGACGGGGTATGAGGCCAAGGTCACAAAAATTATACAGGACAACAAGACATATGGACAGCTGCAGACCGATCCAGTTCAAAAGTTTAAAAGGCGTCTCATAGCCCTACTATCAAAATTAAAACAAGAGAGCAAGATTACCGAGGGCCAATACAGATATCTGTATCACACAGCAAAGAACACTCCTAGAATGTACTGTACACCCAAGATCCACAAGCAGGGAAACCTATTGTGGACTACACTGGATCCATTGTGGCCAATTATCTATTAACAACGCCCCGGCACTGCTATGGGTAGTCCAGTGTCTCCCAGTGTGGCCAATTATCTATTAACAACGCCCCAGCACTGCTATGGGTAGTCCAGTGTCTCCCAGTGTGGCCAATTATCTATTAACAACCCCCCAGCACTGCTATGGGTAGTCCAGTGTCTCCCAGTGTGGCCAATTATCTATTAACAACGCTCCGGCACTGCTATGGGTAGCCCAGTGGGTCCCTATGTGGCCAATTATCTATTAACAACGCTCCGGCACTGCTATAGGTAGTCCAGTGTCTCCCAATGTGGCCAATTATCTATTAACAACGCTCCGGCACTAATTAGATATAAATTTGGTAGACAACTGGTAGATATAGACAGGTACATGTTGTTGTTTAAGACAGGTGCTAGTAATGGGCGTGTTGTAGAATTAGACAGGTGGAAACTATATACAGGTACATGTTGTTGTTTAAGAAAGGTGTTAGTAATATACAGGTAACAGTTATAGTCCCGAGGAAGTTCTAGACAGATGTAACAGACATGTGACAGTTATACACAGGTGGTATTTATAGACAGGTCTATAAAAGTATATACCGGTGATATATATATATTAAATATAGGAAATACAAAATGTATGTATAGACAGATGGTAGTTATAGACAGATGGTATGTTTAGACAGATGGTAGTTATAGACAGTTGGTAGATATAGACAGGTCGTAGTTATAGACCGGTGGTAGATATAGACAGGCGGTAGTTATATACAGGTGGTAGTTATAGACCGGTGGTAGATATAGACAGGTGGTAGTTATAGACAGGTGGTGTAGTTATAGACCATTGGTAGATATAGACAGGTGGGAGTTATAGACAGGTGATAGTTATAGACAGGAGGTAGATATAGACAGGCATTAGTTATAGACAGGCGGTTGATATAGACAGGTGGTAGTAATAGACAGTTGGAAGTTATAGATAGGTGGTAGTTATAGACAGGTTGTAGGTATAGACAGGCGGTTGTTTTAGTCAGGTGGTAGTTATAGACAGGTGGTATGTTTAGACAGGTGGTGGTTATAGACAGGTGGAAGTTATAGACAGATGGTATGTTTAGACAGCAGGGAGTTATAGCCAGGTAGTAGATATAGACAGTTGGTAGATATAGGCAGGTCGTAGTTATAGACCGGTTGTAGATATAGACAGGCGGTAGTTATATACAGGTGGTAGTTATATACAGGTGGTAGTTATAGACCGGTGGTAGATATAGCCAGGCGGTAGTTATATACAGGTGGTAGTTATATACAGGTGGTAGTTATAGACAGGGGGGGTAGTTATAGACCAGTGGTAGATATAGACTGGTGGTAGTTATAGACAGGTGGTAGTTATAGACCGGTTGTAGATATAGACAGGCGGTAGTTATAGACAGATGGTATGTTTCGACAGGTGGTAGTTATAGACAGATGGTATGTTTAGACAGATGGTAGTTATAGACAGTTGGTAGATATAGACAGGTCGTAGTTATAGACCGGTGGTAGCTATAGACAGGCGGTAGTTATATACAGGTGGGAGTTATAGACCGGTGGTAGATATAGACAGGTGGTAGTTATATACAGATGAAAGGTATAGACAGGTGGTAGTTATAGACAGGTGATAGTTATAGACAGGAGGTAGATATAGACAGGCATTAGTTATAGACAGGAGGTAGATATAGACAGGCATTAGTTATAGACAGGCGGTTGATATAGACAGGTGGTAGTAATAGACAGTTGGGAGTTATAGATAGGTGGTAGTTATAGACAGGGGGTAGGTATAGACAGGCGGGTGTTTTAGACAGGGGGTAGATATAGACAGGCATTAGGTATAGACAGGAGGTAGATATAGACAGGCATTAGTTATAGACAGGAGGTAGATATAGACAGGCATTAGTTATAGACAGGTGGTAGGTATAGACAGGCGGTTGTTTTAGACAGGTGGTAGTTATAGACAGGTGGTATGTTTAGACAGGTGGTAGTTATAGACAGGTGGAAGTTATAGACAGATGGTATGTTTAGACAGGTGGTAGTTATAGACAGATGGTATGTTTAGACAGCAGGTAGTTATAGCCAGGTAGTAGATATAGACAGTTGGTAGATATAGGCAGGTCGTAGTTATAGACCGGTTGTAGATATAGACAGGCGATAGTTATATACAGGTGATAGTTATAGACAGGTGGTAGTTATAGACAGGTGGTAGTTATAGACCGGTTGTAGATATAGACAGGCGGTAGTTATAGACAGGTGATAGTTATATACAGGTGGTGTAGTTATAGACAGGAGATATTTATAGACAGGTGGTGTAGTTAAACAGGAGATTTTTATAGACAGGTGGCAGTTATAGACAGGTGGTAGGTATAGACAGGCGGTTGTTTTAGACAGGTGGTAGATATAGACAGGCATTAGTTATAGACTGGTGGTTGATATAGACAGGCATTAGTTATAGACAGGTGGTTGATATAGACAGGTGGTAGTAATAGACAGTTGGTAGTTATAGACAGGTGGTAGATATAGACAGGTGGTAGTTATATACAGATGAAAGGTATAGACAGGTGGTAGTTATAGACAGGTGGAAGGTATAGACAGGCGGTTGTTTTAGACAGGTGGTAGATATAGACAGGTGGTAGTAATAGACAGGTGGAAAGTATAGACAGGCGGTTGTTTTAGACATGTGGTGTAGTTATAGACAGGTGTTGTAGTTATAGACCGGTGGTAGATATAGACAGGTGGTAGTTATAGACAGGTGGAAGGTATAGACAGGCGGTTGTTTTAGACAGGTGGTAGATATAGACAGGTGTTGTAGTTATAGACCGGTTGTTGATATAGACAGATGGTAGTTATAGACAGGCGGTTGTTTTAGACAGGTGGTAGTTATAGACAAGTGGAAGGTATTGGCAGGCGGTTGTTTTAGACAGGTGGTGTAGTTATAGACAGGTGGTAGATATAGACAGGTGGTAGTTATAGACAGGTGGAAGGTATAGACAGACGGTTGCTTTAGACAGGTGGTGTAGTTATAGAAATGTGGTAGATATAGACAAGTGGTAGTTATAGACAGGTGGAAGGTATAGACAGGTGGAAGGTATAGACAGGCGGTTGTTTTAGACAGGTGGTGTAGTTATAGTCCCGATAAAGTTCTAGACTGGTAGTAGGTACAGTCAGATGTTAGAAATTGGAATGTGGTAGATATAGACTGGCGAGTTATTTAAGCATTGAACTGTTTTTGTATGGTATTTATGATCTATTTGAATGACACAGCTTTGCAAGCAAACAACAATGCGCGCTAGCATAAATACCATACAAAAACAGTTCAATACTTATATTTACGTTTTCTCTGCCTCGTATATTCTTTTTTAACTTACAATTTATATATAATTATCGACAGTCCACACAAATTCGTTTAATAGTTGGAACAGCGTGTTGGCGCGTGCTGATTGGCAAACAAAATAGTACTTTGAAATTTTAACAAAACCTCAATTTTATTC